TCTTCTTCTTCTTCTTCTTCTTCTTCTTCTTCTTCTTCTTCTTCTTCTTCTTCATTGCCAAGGTCGTCAAAACAAATAAATTAAATGAAGTAGTCAGCATGTACTGAATAGTATAAAGGCACTGCACGTAGTCTACCATTTTGTCTTCTTTTATTGTTCAGATGAGAAAGTATTTTTGATTTGTTTTGCTATATTTTTGCCTCTTGGAAATTATTGAAAAGGCCAGTTCCTACACCACTGGAGAACTTGCGTCTTGTGGAGTAGCGGTTAGGCGCTTCCTGTAGCACACAGGAGATCCGAGTTCAATTCCCGGTTGGCGAAACATTTTTATTATCGAATATCCTGACAGGCAGAGTCAGAATAACAGTTAGAAAATAACAGCTATATATATATATATATATATATATATGTTGTTCAAATACGTGAAATATTTTTGTGCTATATATGACCGAGGTTAATCAGCGGGTTCTGAATATAAATCAGGAGTTAACATGAGGCATAAATTGTGTCATGACATCGAGGAATCAGGCGCTCGCGTTAATTTTTGGGCATTTGGAGTTATTGTAATCTATATTAAAGCTTGTTTGTCTTGCTCTTGATGGAATTGATGGTAAAAGTACCCATCTATCTTGGAAAGAAGTCAGGATATCTGTCAACTCGTGTCAGGGCTAGAATTAGTGAGGAAATGGCCGCCAAAGTTTGGTACCTTCTAAAGCTTGGAGTCACTGGAAACTGCAAATATGCACTTTCTGTGCTTTTGGGTTTCCCCTGTTTGTTGTTATTGTTTTGTTTTTTTTAAAGCAAAATCCAAACAGAAATATGTTTTCATATAAACCTAAAGGGTGTTGATCAAGGAAAAAAAAAAGGTAAGTAGCGGCTGTTTCTTCAAGTTCTTATTTTGACGAGAGTCTGATTTCACCACGATACCTCACTATTAAATAGTATAAAGAGAGGCAAACTTTTGTGTCTTCTCCTTTTTTAAAATACCGGTACACGTCTTCATATCCCCCCCCCCCCCCCCCCCCACACCTCAACCTACCGACACAACTTAGATAATGTAGGAAGCAGGCTTCTGACCCTGCCTGACTGTCAAGCCAAACCCGGGCTGAGAGATACAAGATCTCGCCAGAAAGACCGATATTCAATAAAAATACATAATATAATTTCATTTTACCCCACTTGGGAATTGAATTGGAGTCTCTTGAGTGCGACGACGAAACGCCTGACAGCCACACCACCGACGCCTGTGAGATTTTTCTCATCATTTAAATTTGTGAGGCGTCATGGTGAAATCATGCGCTCGTCAAAATAATTAAATCTTAAAAAAAAAAACCCAGAATTTTCCCGCCGGTTTAGTAATTTGATTGAATTTTTGTTTCTTCGTTCAAAACCTTTTATGACCATTTAAAAACACATATCGGAATGGATTTTTACAGAAAAACACTATTGAAAGAGAGAGAGAGAGAGAGAGAGAGAGAGAGAGAGAGAGAGAGAGAGAGAGAAAGAGAAAGAGAGAGAGAGAGACAGACGAGGCACAAATGTAAGATTTCACTTTTCAAGGACTCTCACGCTATGAAAATCATCAAACTTGGATAGCCATTCTCTCGCTTCTTTTGCCTCTAAAACCTGGTGACCCCCTCACCTTTAAGGAGGTTTTTTTTTGGGGGGGGGGTACACCTAAGCACTATCTCGCTCAATAGTTGACCAAATAGTTCCATATATCCCACATATAAGAAGCATTGTAAGTAGTTTTAGTTAAAATCGGCCATCAAATTTGAAAAACAAAAGTTTTGTTTCCATGGATACGGCGGCCATATTAGATTTGGTTGACTTGTCTTACGTAATGAATACCGCACTTGTCGTTCTTGGAAAGGGAATGTCTTTTTTGTATGCATGTTAACAAACATTAGATCAAAGACTTTGTCTGTTGTTTTTTTTTTTAAACGAATTAAAACATGCAAGGACTCTCACGCTATGAAAATCATCAAACTTGGATAGCCATTCTCTCGCTACTTTTGCCTCTAAAACCTGGTGACCCCCTCACCTTTAAGGAGGTTTTGGGGGGGGGGGGGGTACACCTAAGCACTATCTCGCTCAATAGTTGACCAAATAGTTCCATATATCCCACATATAAGAAGCATTGTAAGTAGTTTTAGTTAAAATCGGCCATCAAATTTGAAAAACAAAAGTTTTGTTTCCATGGATACGGCGGCCATATTAGATTTGGTTGACTTGTCTTACGTAATGAATACCGCACTTGTCGTTCTTGGAAAGGGAATGTCTTTTTTGTATGCATGTTAACAAACATTAGATCAAAGACTTTGTCTGTTGTTTTTTTTTTAAAACGAATTAAAACATTTTTATGAATTTTTTCCTGAGGTAGGGCCTTGTATTCAAGTTTGCAAAAAAACCAACCCCCCCCCCCCCCCCCCCAAAAAAAAAAAAACACACAAAAAAAAAACACGTGAAAATCCACACTCTAGATCTAGACAAAACCAACAAAATCCTATTCCATATATAAAAAAATTCAACAGACAGATTTTTAGTATTACATCTTTTCTTCATTCTGTGAAAATTTCATGAAGACTGAATGAAAAATGGTGGAGTTATTTTTAAAAAGTATAGAGAAAAATCACGTTTTGAGAAAACTGCTGATAAAGAAAAATAAAATATTGACTTTGTGAGGAAATGGTGATGACAGACATGCCCGTAAGGAAAGAAATAAGATTTTTGGGGGGTTCTTATTAGGGCTGGATTCTGCTCGGTTAATCGAAGGCTTGTAAAGCAGCGGAAGTCTTGCGCTAGAGTCTTGCGAGCAGGCTTGTGGTTTGATTTGCCTCCCGCTTGCTACCGGAGGGAACTTCCGGTGAGTTGTGACTCGCGGACAGTCCTGCTGTACTGTGTCGTGACGTCGCGAACTCTCGTGGCAGTGGGCTCAGTACATATTATAGATTCTCTGGTTATTTGCGTTGAGAGGCTTACACCAAAAGTGCAAGATCGGTTGTTGTTTTTTTCATAGTTCGGTTGTAAAAAACAAAAAGCTCTATTCAATGCACTTAAAAATTAATATTGGATCGGCTATTCTTATGATGTTAAGGCCTGTTTATTTTTAATGTGCACGAGCCAAGCGCTTCATCGTCGCACGCAAAAGACCTCAGTTCGATTCCCGTATGGGGAGAAATTTTTACTGAGAACCTCCGTCTTTCTGCTGGAGCGTTGTTCCCTCTCAGCCCAGATTGGCCCTGACATTGGGTTGAAGTAGGCCTAGCCCGTCTCGTAAATGTTCTGTATTATGTCACTGTGAGTGTAACACATCGACAAAATAGGTTACATACATACGATACAAAAGCCAATCACAACGACCCCTGGAGTTCTCCATTCTGGGGTAATCTAAGTCTACTTATTCTTATTATTATCAGAAACCTAGGTCTCTGTTACTACAATACCACGCTCCCTCTCACTTATCCATTCGCTTAGCTGATCAACGGCGGGAAGTTAAAAATAACTTCAGCTCTCTACGCCTTGCACCAAAACAAGCCCAGCCTGTCCCTTCCTCCACTGTTCAAAGTTCACACAGCGCACAGTACTGTCTTGCTGTTTAAAACATCGGACTGTCTTGTCGCCATCAAGACGGTCCTACGCCATCGAGCCCGTGCCGCTCGCTCGGTGTATCGAGACAGTACAAGTCAGCAGGTCAGGTTTGGAGCTTGTCCTGAGGCAAATCTGTAAGCCTAGCGCAAATCAGTACTGTGTGAATTGTGGGGCCTGTGGCAGCGGACGGGACTTGAGGCTTGCGCAGGCCTCGATTAATCGAATAAACTACAGCGTCACGCCGCGCAGTTGACTCTGTGGGCGAGATCTCTCACTCTCCCCCTCTCTCTTTTTCTGACGTAAGTGGCTTCGCGGATTGCAAGCAGGGTGGGGATGATGAGGGGGCCTGACACGAGTGGCTTCGCGGATTGCTAGTTGCTGTGGACTTGAAGTTTAGACTAGACCAAGGAGGTTACAGTTTGCGCTAGACTCAACTTATCATGCTGGTGATTTGATTTGATGATTTGACCTACTGATTTGAAGCTTGTGACTTGAACTAGGGGCTTGTGAGCACGAGCAGGTTTGCTACCGGGGTACAGCCCTAGTTCTTATGCGATAAAATAGTTGTAGGAGAGGTTGAGGAAGCTAAAAATGTCTACAACTCAGTTTCCATGATTTTTAGCTGAATAGGGACGTTGGGGGTGTAGCGCCCCCCCCTCCCCGGGCCACCTTAATCGCAAATATCTCGACTTCTATTCCAGATAGGTGGGTAGTTACTTTTTTCACCGAAAGCAAGACAAGTGAACAAGCTTTAATAGTAATAATAGTATACCAATGACTCCATATACCACAAAACTGACGAACGCCTAATGTCACCACGCTGTGACACATTTTCATACTTTCTTTTTAGCACGGCTCGTAGTTATTATTATTATTATTATTATTATCATTATTATTATTATTATTATTATTATTTCAATATCTTTCTTCTTCAAATCTCCCCAGCTCGGGTGATGGCTGTTTTCAACTTTGGTACAACATGTACGGAGCGGGTATTGGCGCCCTAAACGTGTATCTGATGCCGTCTGACGGTCCCTTGAAAAGTCTCGTTTCCTTGGAGGGAGAACAGGGCAGGGATTGGCGTATGCTGTCTGTGAACATTAGCAGCACCGATTTCCGTGTAAGTGGACAGGAGGAGGAGGAGATGGTGAAGAAGAAGAAGAAGAAGAAGAAGAAGAAGAAGAAGAAGAAGAAGAAGAAGAAGAAGAAGAAGAAGAAGAAGAAGAAGAAGAAGAAGAAGAAGAAGAAGAAGAAGAGGAAAAAGAAGAAGAAGACCGCCACCCACACTGCCCCTACCACCTCCCCTTTCTCTCTCTCTCTTTATATATATATATATATATATATATATATATATATATATATATATATATATATATATATATATATATATATATATATATATATAGTTTTAAAAAGGTTTTACAGCACTCGTAACTGCATAAGGTCATATGAGCGCAAAGGGGTGGATGTCAACAGAGAAGTCCAAACGGAGAATCAGGCTTACTATGCTCACCTGTTTAGACTCAACAACACAAAGTCTGCTTCGACTATCAAGGCACCTCAGAAATAGCAGTTCACAAGAGAGTGACAAACATACAAATGACGTAGAGGTAAAATGACGATAGTAAGTTATTAAGGATGAGGAAAGAAAAAGCAGCAGTTCCTCCTATGTTGCTTCGACACAGTATGAGCATGCCATTGATAAATCAGCCCATTAACAATGTTACTGTTCATGACCTTGCAATGATAACCCTGGTTCGAATCCCAGACTAGGTGTACTTGTACTTGGATTGTTTTGTGGGGTCTACCAGAATGAAAGTTCTGAAATGCAATACATGGTCAACCTTTCAATATGTCAGTGAATTCTGGACAATCACTAAAGACAGTGAAAATAAAATAGAAGCAACAGAAATGTGGTTTCTTAGGAGACTACTGAGAATATCGAGAAAGGAAAAAAAATCAAATGAGGTAGTAGGCCTACTTGAGGAAGCCCACGTGGGACGTAAAATATAACCAGGAAAAGACAAATTCAGGTTTTGGGACACCTGAATAGACATAAAGGTCTTGAACATCTAGCTCTCACGAGGCAGGGGTAGGCCCAGAGAAACCTACTTAAAGAACCTAAACAAATGGGTAACGGGGAAAATTCAGGATAATGTAGCTTTTTTGAGAGCATCCGAGCAAATGAATGAAAGCAGAACCATGATCGCCGTTGTCTGCCGAAAATCTGGCACTGGACGATGATGAAACTGGCTGTAAGGCTAAGTTTGATTTTTTACTGTATCATTAACACATGTATTGCTTATATAATAATTATTGCAATCTGGCATGAATGTCATGAACTCACAGCTATTCTCCTCTGTCAGCTTTTTATGATTTGCTTTGGGAAGAAGAAATATCTTGTTAGTTTGTAGCGTTTTGCCGAAAATTCGGAAATGTTTCTGGCTCTGGGTGTTCTAGCTTGTGCTGGGGGTAATACTGTCCCTGTCGTTTTAAGCAAGAGAGATTGTGAAATTATGCAAACTGAGCCCAAAATTGTGAAATGTTGTGATTCTATTAATTTTAACAAAGAATGATAATGAAAAATAATCAGAAATTATGCACACACAAAAAAAGGATCAAATTTTGCAAAATTATTCGGTGTGCATAAAACCACGAGGACAGGTATTGATAATATAGATTGTAGAGCGCATTGAGCTCATTGCTTTTTAGGGGAGAGGGGTTAGCGAATAATAATAATAGAAATAATAATAATAAAAATAATATTAATTAATTAATTAATAATAATAAGAAGAAGAAGAATGATAATAATAATAGTAATGATAAAAATTGATAATAATAATAACAATGACAATATAATTTCACTATTATTCTTGCTGTTTTTCTTCTTCTTCTTCTTCTTCTTCATCTTCTTCTTCTTCTTCTTCTTGCCGTCGTTGTTGTTGTTATTATTATATCATTACTATTACTATTATTATTATTATTATAGTATTATTATTATTATTATAATTATTATTATTATAATAATAATTATTATTAATTTTGTAACTCTATTATTTCTAGATCGTTCTGGAAGGCGTCAGAGGGAAGTCGTTCATGGGCGACATTGCTGTGGATGACGTCCGTTTAACGGACAGGCCTTGCGGAGATCCCCAGCTTGTGGGCTAAGTTTTAAAAAAAACAAACAAGAAAAAAAAAAGTGGGATTACCACTCACTCGGCTTTATCGAATGTGCATAATCGTAACTAACTCATTCGATTTTGTTGAATGTGCATAATTGCAAATCAATAATAATACATTTAATTATATTCGCTTTTGTCGAGTGTGCTCAATAAAGCCACTTTCTTCTGAGTTCAATCCAGCTTGTTTCCAGCAGATTCGTTTGCCCAGGGTTATTTTTTCCCCTCTGGTGTAGCATGCCTCTTTTGGAAACTTTTGTTTATTTGTTTGAATAAGGTAAAACATATTGACACAGGGCGCTCCGAAGTTAGTATCATTCAGGGCTACGCCAGCGGATGGCTGTGGTTCAATCCCATGGTGGGCGTTCTTGTACTCGAGTCGTTTTGCCGAGTATTCAAGATAAGACCCCAACCTCTAATTGGCTGGGTCCTTTTGAGATGGACATTTACGTAATTACGTTCAGAAGTCCCGCTTCTTAGATAAGCCAAGAGGCGTTAAACCCTTACACTTTATACATCGACACAAGAATCGGCATAACATAAAGCGCATGGAAAAGAGCTAGCCAAGTAGACAATTATAGTCCATTATGGATCACGTTGTCCTAAAAAAAAAGAAAAAAAAAGAGAACGTTCATCTCAATGTATTATTATCTTTTCCGAACGTATTGCGCCTTTTTATGTAGCTAAAGCATTTTGTGGACGGTCGCATGGCGCTATTGGATGGTCCTCTTCTTTTCTTTCCCTCGCTGTTGTCTCTGTCTGTCCATCTTACTCTAACTTTTTTCCCTGCACTGCACCCAATGGCCGTTATCGTGTTGGTTTGCTTCTCTTTACTCAAAGAGAAGCTAAGTGGTTTCAAATCCGGTTATTTAAAAAAAAGAAAGAAAAACCAACGGTAACTCAAGAGAAAATAAAATCCCTGATGTTGTCTTCTTCTTGATCTCTGTATGAAAACTATCGATTAGCCAAAATGCTCTCATTTCTAAAACCAAAAATAATTTTGTGGGTCATATCGTCTAATTCTTCACGGTTTCACCACAGAGTTGCTATACTGTATAATCTCGCCTTTTGATGTACGATCAAAGAACTAAACACCAAAGAGTTTATAGCTACCACAATCAATTTACCTCGGGGTAGTTAGAGTGAGTCAATTTTTGTTATTGCAGAATCGATACACATGCGAAGTATTGAACTAAAGACAATTTTAGCTTCATGATAGGCATGAAACGTGTTATTATCGGCGGAATGAATTGGTAGGCGCGGTAAACAACAACTCAACAAGTGCGTGTTGTGCTTTAAAAAATGTAAGTGTTTTTTACATCTCCATTGACACAATTTTGATCATTTAGGAGGCTAGCGTCTGACCCTGCTTGTCAACTGGGTACAGATGCCTGCCCGGCCCAACTATCGGGCTCAGAGGGGTACCGAGATACAGTACCCCCCCCCCCCCCCCCCCCCGTTGGACCACCATCCCTGCCTACCTCCAGGTTAGGCCAATATACGAAAAGGAACGCTGCCTCTATACATATATAGTATTTTTGCCTTCACACCGCCATCCGCCAACTGTCTTACCCCGCCATACCGCCAGCGAACTGAACGCCAGAGGTACACACTGCACATAGCGCACAACACCCACTGGTTTGCTACTTGGTAATCTTTCGCCCACGAAGAAGACATAGAAATAGAGAGAGGAGATTCCTGGCCCGGAATCCATGTGCTTGTACATGTATTTCACCAAGAAAAAGACACTTTTCAAACACAGATTGCACAGCAGAATCATGTTCCTTGACATTGGGCAGTTGGGGCTATACAATAGAAAAACCCCATAGAACCACCATCATGCCCGTCCCAAGAGTGGCGGTATAACGAGGTTTGGTTGCACTTGATAAAAATTCTCCCCACTCGGGAATCCAACTTGGGTCTCCTGCGTATGACGGTGAAGTGCCTAACTACTACACCACAGACACCAGTGCGTTGTATGTGCTTTGAGGTAATGTACACAGTAGAATGATTTTTATTGCTTTTCTTGATAGAAAAACATCCCAGAATCGGATCACAGTTAATACGTTTGTGTATAAATTGTGTGTCAAGTTTGAGGCATAAACGTCTGTCCCGCAACATGGCAAAAATCCAAGATGGCCGCCACAGAGACCAACTTTTCAATAAAACAAAAACAAAAATTCCGTCATAATTCATCTAATTAGTTGACAATTAACCTATATCACCTTTAAAAATTCAAAGAAAGTCAAACCCCTAAAATTTTCCTCGTATCATGTACATCTCCCGTTAATATGATCATCATCACCATTGCCTTTCTCACTCTGGATCAGGGTACAGGCCACAAACAAACTCTTTCCACCATTCCTTATCCTGGGCCAGGCCAGCCTCTTGATGCTATTCCATGTCTTACCATACCACCTATCTGTACATCAGTTAATAAACATCATAGTGAGTAGCATTTCAGGTGTAGCACAAGACAGAAATCTTGTTCTTGTGATGCAGTTACGGAAAGATGTTAGAAAACATTACACAACGCCCAGCATTACTTCGGGCCTTCCTGGAGAAACTATGTCATACAGAAATCTAATTGAACACATACAATTTTCGTCTATCAGTTCTATCAAAATACATATATTATAACATATTACATGTACATATATTATATTATATATATATATATATATATATATATATATATATATATATATATATATATATATATATATATATATGTCATATACACACACACACACACACACATATATATATATATATATATATATATATATATATATATATATATATATATATATATATATATATATATATATATATATATGAGGCATCGTGGTGATTTCATGCGCTCGTCAAAATCATGAAATCAAAGAAATCTGCATTTTTTGGGCCAGTTTGGAATATCTTTTCTCAAATTTTTGTTCTTTTGCTCAATATCTTGTTAGATTCAAACACTTTAATGAGTGGATTTGATAGGAAAACTTTGATAAAAGGCACAATATATTTAAATTTGCAGTTTCCAAGGACTTTTAAAGCTATGGAAGTCACCAAACTTTGGCGGCCATTTTCTCTTTTATTTTACCTCTGAAAACATGTGGTGTAGCCAATATTGTCATACTCTGGTGTACGCAAAAGAAGTGTGTTTTATTCTTGCCGGAGAAGAATTTTTTTTCTTAAGTCAACATAGGCCTACATCTTTATCTGCCTGATGGGACATTGTACCCCTCTTTAAGGGGGGGGGGGGGGGGGGGGGGGCTACACCTGAAGGCTATCTCGCTTATTATTAGACCAAATTTTACCAAATTTCACACATATAACAAGCATACTAAGGAGTCTTAAAATTCGCAATCATATTTGAGAAAAAGTTTCGTTTCCATGGATACGGTGGCCATATTGGATTTTGTTGACATGTCTTACGTAATGAATACCACACTTATCACTTATGGAAATTAATTGGGTTTTTTTGCATGCGTGTTCACAAACATTAGATCTAAAAATTTGTCTCTTGTTTTTTTCCTAAACGAATTAGAACATTTTTAATGAATTTTTTCCTGAGGTAGCATTCAAGTTTGCAAAAAATCCGTGAAAATCCACACTCCAGACACCATCAACAAAAATCTATTCCATATATCAAAAATTCAACTGACAAATTTTTAGTACTACATCTTCTCTTCATTCTGTGAAAATTTCATGAAGATTGGATGAAAAATGGTGGAGTTATTCAAAAAAGTATAGAGAAGAGTTGCGTTTTTGAGAAAACGGCCAATAAAGAAAAATAAAATACTGACTTTATGAGGAAATGGTGGTGACAAACATGCCCGGTATGGGAAAAAAATACGGTTTTTGAGGGTTCTTATGCGATGAAATAATTGTAGGAGAGGCTGAGGAAGCTAATAATGCCTACAACTCAAATTCCATAATTTTGGGCCGAATTTGGACTTTGGGGGTGTAGCCCCCCCCCCCCCCCCCCCACCTTAATAATCTAAATTGTGTCGACGAGGGTGCAAAGCATCAGTCACAAATAGCAGCCCAATGTGTGGGAGAATCGATTTCTTTGAGACAAAAACAGCGACAGCACTGACAAAACAAAACAAAACTAAAACAGAGAGACAGAGACATCCCAAAAATTGTAAGCATTTTACCCTTCCATCGACACAATTTAGATCATGTAAGAGACAAACTGCTTCAACCTTGCCTGGGATACAGCATACAAGTTAGTTTAGCTTAGTATGGGGTTTTACAGCGCTCGCATCTGCATAAGGTCATATGAGCGCGCGAAACAAGTTGTTTTTTTCTCAACAGCTCACTGCTCGGCCTGATTCTGGTCAATATTTCTAATCAAAATTTTAAAAAATCGAGTGTAAATAGATTTAAAATTTAAAACAACTTTCTAAATAACACTTTTAAATTTCAAATAATCTATTTTATAACTTCCCATAAAGGCCAATGGCCTTCATAAAATCTAAAATTCCGTTGGGAATAACGACGGAAAAAATATCTTGCAATTTTTTGCCTTTAAAGTATTTTCTTCGGGTCTCTCCGAAGTTTAGACATTCGGTTAAAATGTGTCTAATGGTAAAATCTGTGTCGCATCCGACACAGAACGGTTTCTCATCTCCCTGAAGGAGGTATTTGTACAAACTTTCGTACATACAAGCACGTAACTTCCTCATCAATGAATCAAACTCACACCTTCGGTATACAACAGTCAGCGAAGAGTCTAACTGTTACACTAAAGATGCTGGGTTATTGAGAGAGATGTGGTAGAATGTAATAAGACCTGATACACGAACATAATACACTCGTTTTATTTTGTAAGAGAAGAGAATCACATTGACACAATAATGGTCACTTAGTCATAGTGCACGGAAAAAGTAAGACAGAGAGAAAGAAACAACAGAGGGAGAGTTAAAAGGAGGAATGACTTAAAAGAGGCACCCTACAACAAGTACCCCGAAACACAAAATATGAGTAATAAGAAAATACCCCGAAATGAACATTACATTCTTCAGCAGTCTGGGATTCTTTGGAAAATATAAACAATAAGTGGCTGTCTTCCTATATTACATGTATTACCCCTCGCCTCTTCTCATAAACTTTAAAGCACAATACAGCATAAAAACCCCCCAACAAAAAACATGCACAAACAAAACTGAACATAACATTGCTGTTGTAATGATAGCCATTCCATCAGAAAATCACACCAATGATGTTACGCTCAAATCATGTACCTGGAAGAAAAAGGTTAACTTTTAATTTTGTTTTAATAACTATTTCTCAGATCTACCTGCGGGTCCTGAATACAGACCAGGAGTTAGTGTGCACTATAAATAAACAGTATAAAATACTAAAATTAATAGCAAAAAAGCACTCTGGGCTACCTTATGTGTCTTCTTTCATCATTTAAATCAAATCAGCACACCTTCCCTCCCCCTCTTGAAAAACTTTCCAGATACCAGATACATGGAGAGCATAAGACCATTGCTATCAATATTTTGTGCTCTTGGTATTCATACATGCATGATATATTCTACAAAGTCATAAAACAATTCTATAAATGTAAATTGTTAAATACAAATAGGATTGTATACCAGGAGAAGCTTCTATAAATGTTGAAGTCAAGCATTTTATAGCCAATGTATTCTGTAAGAACAAACTGGTGCAATCTCATTTCTAAAAATGTCCAAAGCACCCTAATTGTTTTGTGTAAGAAAAGAGAAGCACATCTACACAATGATGGTCATGTAGTACTGGGAAAATTAATCATAGACAGACAGAAACGGTAATTACAGGGAAAGAAGAGAAGACAGACCAACCAATGGCGCCTTCTAACCACCCAAAGCACCCAATTAAGGAAGAAAACAGCCAGAGAAGGGCAGAAGCAACAGAAAAGCCACTGACTTAAAATATGCTGTGAGAGGTGAAATTTGTTTTGATTGAGCTGTAAAGATGTATTCATAATTCTGATATAGTAACTGCCACAATATAAGAAGTCCCTAAAATAAGGACCAAGACGCGATAACCAGTCAGATTCCTTCCTGCATTGCAAACATGTATAAAGAACCTGGTGATAAAGTGCTCACTTTTACTGTATTTGCTAGTCTAAAGCTTTTTGGCCCTCATAAAAAAATATCTTACATCGACTTGATCACTTGATGCCTGACCTATACACAGTATGACACAGTAGATAGGTCGTACACAGGAGACTCGAAATCACGCATCTATCGAACTGTGCCTGCGGTCCCATTTTTTGTTGTTGTCTACTTTATCTTCGTACAATATCCCTCGAACTACGGATCCCTTGAACTACCGAGGCCGATCCTGACAAATTCAAGCTACCTGTGTTGTACTGTATATACATACAGTCTCCTTTAGAGGATTTTAAGAGACAAGTAAAGACTTCGATCCAGGGAGCAGTAGAAAAGTTAAAAAGTTATTCAGCTGTAGGCATTCAGGTAAAAAAAAAATCAGTTCTCAATGACTACAGCCTAGAAGGAAAATCAAAGGCAAAGATTATAAGTCACTGATTAGCATGAATAACTTGTACAGTGATCAACGATGTCATGGTTTTTATTTGAGATTATGGAAGAAAAAAAAATCTTACATACACAGCTGCAAGTTTTGTATAAAGGTTGTCAGTCTACAAAGGTTGGGACGATACATAAACGGACCGATACAATAAAAGGCAGTTGATAAACATGGACAAATTCCATCTACCTGCTGGTCATGAGCGAATCTTATTTTTAATGGACACAGGGTGCAGGAAGCGAGTGAACTAAGATGGAGCGAGTGAACTGAGAGGCAGCCTACCAACAATAATATGATCAACATTTTTCCTTAAAATGTAGGTATTTTACGGCTAAATTGCCCCAATTTAGATAATATAGGAGGCATGCTTTGACACTGCCTATTAAGGCCAACCCAGGTGGAGAGGGGTACAACATCCTAGCAGAAAGGCCGATGTACTCAATAAAAGTTCTTCCCACTCGAGAATCAAACTCAGGTCTCCTGCATATGAAAGTAGAGTGCCTATCCGCTATACCATACACACCGGTACAATATTATGATCAATCAAAACACAGAGAGAGCAACTGACAAAATACTATGTGAAATCTGGTCTCTCTTTACGAGGAGAGGGGTATGGTATGTGTTCCACACTCAAGAAAAGCCTTGGGGGAGTTGGAATAGGTGACAAAAGCAAAAAGAAGAATGGTCAAACTCCCTCGAAACTGCTCTAACAACTACCTGCCTAAGACAGTCACCAGTACAAATGACCACCTCCCACTTTCCCCCTTGCGTTTTGTTCTATATATCACAATGACACTGTCCTGGAAGACTACCAGTCTAATTCTAAGATGACCAGACTTCTCCTTGACGATTGGAATAAAATTCAACAGTACTGACAAAATAGATCAAAATATGACTAATAACTGTTTCTTCTTGGTTTTGAAATATCATTCACTGCATTAGGCTTACTTGTTTTCTCATACTCAATGGTTGTGTTCATGTTTTAGTAAAATGTTTTACATCACTTGCAACACAATTAGGTCATATATATATATAAGTGCGGAAGAGTAGAGATCTTACAAGAGAGTAACGAACACAGAAAAACAAGTAGGAGAGTTAAGGACGAGAGCTGTTTGATAGGAAAGAAGAAACAAACCACACCAAAGTACCTGTCAGGCACCCACTACTCAATGATTGTCTGACACAAAAGAACAGAAACATAATAACCAAAAAAGAGACATGGGACCATAAAAAGCACCAAACAAACCAAGCTAAAACTTAAATAATATTGTATCAAAAACATTAAAAAAACATTAGGTAAAAACAAGTTTTCAAAGAAACATTCAACACATTATGTAATATACATAAATTATGCGTGATATATATGCATATTTTTAGATTGTCATGGCACTAGAGGAAATCAAGAACTAACATTTTATGATTTGTAGGAAGCATTGAAAGTAGGAAAGAAAGGTTCTAAAAATTAAATGCTTGTATTTTTATGCCCCCATTGAAACAATTAGAATTAGACGGATCATTTTGGACACAGGCTTCTGATCCTGCCTGTCAGGGTCCACCTGGGCTGACAGAGATACAACATCCCAGCAGAAAGACCAAAATGCTTGATACAAATTTTCTCCATGAGTCTCTTGCATGTTACAGTGAAGCACCTTACCACTACACCACAGACTTTTTAGTTTTAGTTAGTTTTACAGCACTTGCAACACAAAAAAGTCATATAAGAGCCAAAGATCAGAGGTGTAACAAGAGAGTAACAAACACAAAAAAAGGAGGAGGAGAGAGAAGGACGATAGCTTTTGGTAGGAAAGGAGGAGCAAGCCACACCAGAGCATCCGCCAACCACACACACACCACAGACTTTGGATTGAAAGAAGGAATGTAAACTCTTGTATAATATATCTCAACAATACAAACACCCCTCTCCCCCCAAACCCCCCCCCCAAAATTACCCCAAACAAACAACAAGAAAATACAAAATTGATATATACATTTTAAATGGCATAACACCCACTTTTGATACATTTCCCCATTACAATAGACAAGGAGCATACTGCAGGAGCATACACCTTTTGCATTTATTATTTAAGTAGGCTACCGTAGATAAATCCTGAAATAATATAAATTGCCAGGAAATATAAATATTGCTATGGCTTTTTGCTATAAGCATGCACGATAATGCGAAGATAGGGAAAAAGTAGGTTACAAAGACAGTGTTCGTTATATTAGTCACTGGTTCTTACATGTACCGGTATTCAAATCTCAGACAGTAAGATTGAGTGAGAGAGAGCGCTTTTAGTTTTAGTAAGAGTTTTACGGCACTTGCAACACAATAAGGTCATATTAAGTGACGAAGATTAGAGGTGTTACAAGAGAGTAACAAACACAAAAAAAAGCATGAGAGATAAGGACGATAGATGTTTGATAGGAAAGAAGGAGCAAACCACACCAGAGCACCCGCCAACCACCCACAGAGAGAGTGCGAGTGTGTGTGATTAAGAGAGAGTGAGAGATAGTGTGTGTGTGTGAGAAAGAGAGAGAGAGAGAGAGGGGGGGGGGGGGGCAAAAGGTAGAGAGAGAAAGAGAGGGAAAGAAAGAGAGGTAAAGAAAGAAAAATAGAGAAATAGAAAGAGAAAAAAGAAAGAGACAGTGAGAGTGAGGGAAAGAACGCAAGCAATAAGCAAGAAAACAAGCTCAAAACATGATTAACGACACATCAACAGTTCTATAATAACAGGGAAGTTTGCACATATGCAATATTATGCTTAAAAAGCTCTGCCATACAACAAACAGAATATCATATATCTTTACAAAATCATGTGACCAAAAAATAGATACACCATTAGTCCCTAAGGCACTTTGAAAATTGTACCTATAAAAAACTGAAGAAACTTGCACCCAGGCAACGTGAAAAAAGTGGAACAAAAACTTCAAAAATGTCACCAGAAAGTTGAATTTCAGTACAGAATAATGTTGTTTTTGGCATTTCCGAGGATAACAAAGTATTCAATTAATTTTTCCTTCTGAAAAAATTCCTATCAATTTATTTAAAAAATGACATCAACTGGAACATGCCATTTTACGACAATTTCAGTCTCGAATTTGGTTCATTTGGATGAACACAGAACATATTTTTTTCAAAACTTTAATAACTTTTTTCCCGCACCACATAAACTATTGATTTGATCCTGTCATTCTTTTTGCTTATACTGGGTACAACTTTACTACAGTACACTTGTAAGAATGTGAGGATAAGAACAACTATGAAATTTATTTGCTCTTTGTTGTTGTCAATCCAGTATTCTTTGAGCATGCTAAAAAAGGTGGAGGTGTTCACAAGTTGTTCTTTTTCGCTTTTTTCCCACTAGCCCCATACCAGTTTTTTCCAAGATTTTGGGGCTGTGACATTACAGAGATACTCTAAGATAACAAGAAAATAGAAAAAAATTTTCATGCAGGTATCCTGTCAGTTTTATTCAATCTTCGCGTAAAAAAAGGGGAGACCTTTACACTCTAAAGAAAGAGGTGTTTATCCTAAATTGGTGTATACATGTGGCGTATTAGAGTATTTGTTTCCAGCGCGACTTTTGCAGGATTTTTCTGAGGTGTCTGCTCCTTTGATCAGAGAGTAATAGCGATCTCGGATGAGAAAAGCTGCTCTCTTAGGCTGTCTCTGGCGAGTCAGTAAACCTTTCTTATTGCCCACAACTCGTTTGACTCCTGATGAGAAAAAAGTACAGATAAACTTTTCCGTTATAAACATCAAGTTAAATGGCATTGAAAGAGATGGCATTACTCTTAAAAAAGACAAAAAGAAAACCATCTGCCCCTTCCAACACCTCAGTCTTGCCATAAAAGCAAATAAGAAATGCAGTCAAAAAGGCTATTAAGACCACTTGTAAAGGAAAATCACCTGTGCAAACAGCCACTTAATTTGTATTTCCTCCCTTGGGTATTGTGTTTCTTTTTCTTCATTATAATGACACCGTGTAAGACAGCCATTTTTCTCCTCTACAAATGTGGCGGACTTACACAATTTCTACTGTAATTATAACCATTTTCCATCCCTAAAAAAAATCCCCCCCCAAAAATAATGACTTTGGCCATTAATCTCTCCTCCCCCCCCCCCCCCCGCACACACACACACACACACTTTCCTTTTCTGCCTGCCACAAGCATGAACTCTATCGCAGAACTTAACATAGGAAGTACTTCTTCACTCTATAGGAGGTAGTGTCTATCCTAAATAGGTGTATACATGAGGAGCATCAGAGTGTTTGCTACCCGTGCGACTTTTGCACGATTTTTCAGAGGTGTCTGCTCCTTTGATCAGAGAGTAATAGCGATCTCGGATGAGAAAAGCTGCTCTCTTAGGCTGTCTCTGGCGAGTCAGTAAACCTTTCTTATTGCCCACAACTCGCGTGACTCCTGAGAAAAAAAAAGTAAAGACGAGCTTTTCTATTATAAACATCAAGTTAAAAGGCTTAAAAAAACGATAACTTACTCTTTAAAAAGCACATTTCCTCTGTCCCCCACCCCCTTTCCTCACTACCCAAAAAAGCAGGGTGAGTTGCATAAAATCTCATGGAGGCTCCTGTCTCAGAATTACAAAGTTCTATCTGCTCGGTACTTAATAGTTGTAAAGCGCATAGAGCATGCTCTTGAGCATGGATATGTGCTATGTAAATGAATTATTATTATTATTAGTCATTAGAAATTTTATCTAAATAATTTTGAGTTTCACAACATGTCAAGCTTTTTTCAATGCAAATCTTTTAAGTTTCGTAAGAGTTTTAAGGCACTTGCAACACAATAAAGTCATATAAGTGCCGAAGATTAGAGGTGTTACAAGAGAGTAACAAACACAAAATAGGAGGAGAGATAACGGCGATAGATGTTTGATAGGAAAGAAGGAGCAAACCACACCAGAGCACCTGCCAATCACCCACTGCAATTCTTTGAATATCCTGATAACGACTGCGAATAATTGTATGATTTTGATAGAGTAGGTAGAACATATCGTTTCTGACCTCATGGTCTTTGCAAAATAAAACGGCCAAAGTAACTCAAAACGGTCTAAAATGTCAGACAGAGCAATGTAATTATATGGTAGCGAGGTCTCAAAGGGTTCACCAAACGTCATTAACACAATAGGGAAAATGGACGAGCAAGGACAAGTCATCATTCCTCTCAGTCTCATCCTGTGTTGTCGGCACATTGGCAAAGTTGTTTATCATCTGGGCCATTTGAGGAGGGAATTTAGGGAGGAAGGGAGGGGGCAGAGGAAAAGAGAGAAGGAGAGAGAAAGAGATAGAGAAGGAGAAGGAGAGAGAGAAAGAGAGAGAGAGAGAGAAAATGAAAGAGAAAGACAAAGAGACACACACAGACAGAGAGAGAGAAAGAGAGAAAGAGAGGGAGAGAGAGAGAGAGAGAGAGAGAGAGAGAGAGAGAGAGAGAGA